CTAGATAGACACACACACACACACTCACGTACATGTAATTCATTAGGTTGTCAGTCTGTCTGTCTTTCTGTTTGGGGACGTGGGCCATTCTGCTGCTCATGCTTTGGTTTCTCTCACTGTGATTGGCTGCACTGACTGCAGGCAGTGAGAGTGGCAGGAGTTCACCCTATTACAGTCAGCCAGAGCCTCGGTGTGCCACACCCACCACCACCACCACCTTCCAAGCCCCCAAGCATTTCCATGTGCCAGGTAGGCCGTCATCTCAAAACACTGACCCCCGACCTGTTTACTAACCCGAGTTTCCCCCATGTCACATAGAAGCCAACCCCGCCTCCAACTATTTATTTATACTGTAGCTCGTAGGTCATCATTTCAGACTCTGCTAACCATTAATCAATCAAATGTTTCTACAGTTTGATTTAGTGACCCTGACCCCCGTCCTGACCCCAGAACCACACTAGCTGCTCGCCTAAGAAAGACACAACCACATTCCCACTGAACTTTTAACCTGATTCTGTTCATTTGTCATTATTATAAGTGCTGAAGCAGTTAGTTGATCAACAGAAAATTTATGAAAAAATTGATTCTGGTAATTGATTCATTGTCATTTTTCAAGCAAAAATGCAAAACAATTTTTATTTTGAGCTTCTCAATTGTGAGGATTTGCTGTTCTTCTCTATTTTATATCATTGTTCATGGAATATCTTTGGGTTTAGGAGTGTTTGTCACTTCCACTATGGGAAGTAAGAAGAAGTAATAAATAGAATCATCAACAATGAAAATGAGTGTGATTTTTAGATGCCTAACAAGTTTCACATACCATCTAAGTGTATATATAATATATATATATTTTACTCTGATTCAGTGATTATCCATTATCATTTTAGTCTTCTGACATATTTTAATTTTAAAATCCATAAAAATGTACAGTATTTATCCTCCTTTTCAGTGTATTCCATTGGGGAGTCTTTATCTAATTTATCTCAGTGATCCGGAGCTCTTGTATAACATATGAGCACTTTAATCTAACAACTAATACCAGTTCATTTTATTGAAACATTCCATCAATCCTCCATTTTATCAAGCTAATGCCTCTCTCCTCCCTGAATGTTTCACTCTGTCTCTGTTCCCTTCACTTTTAAAAGGCCTTTACTCTTCAGTGCAAGCTGTGCATTTGGTTTCCCTCCATCATTCCCTCCTCCTGCCTTCAGCCCATTTCTCACTGCATGTTCCCTCTCTCCCGTTTTTCTGAGGCTGTTATTCTTTGCCAGCCCTGCAACAGAAACTCAGTATTTGGTGGATGCTTTTATCCAGAGTGCCTCGCAGTATCATGAGTGCATATAAATTTAGCGTGGATGCCCCATTGGGAGTCAAACCCCTTACTTTGGCAGGGTTAGTTGCACGCTTTGTGCAGTATCTAGAAGCAATGTTTGTTTTTTGTTGTATTTTTTTTTGTTGCTTTATTCGTTTTATTGCAGGTCATAACACAAACTATTTTTAAGTAAGTTTAATATGTTGTTGTGTTTTTACAGCATTCAAACCTGAATGATTCTACAGCACATTCCACCAAATGAGAGCTACAAAGTGCCACATGTTCCCTCAAGTTTCCTCTCCTCTATCTTTTTCCTTTGCCTCTCCATCCAGTCCTCTCTCCACCATTCAACTGCTCTCCTCCCTCTTCTTTATTCCTGTGCCATCTGCTGCTCTTTCCTGTAATAAGCCTGTGAATCTGTATTTATCAGCCTCTCTGCACGTCAGTCAGGTTGTCTGGATGCAAGGCACTGTCTCCACCATAGTAGTTTATTACCCGTGTTGTCAGCTTTACGGTTAAGGAGACTGCAAATGTACACAACTCATTTGGTGGGATGAGATGAATAAGGAAATCCAGATTACTCCTGTCTCCTCTCCTCTCAATCTCCCTCTCTATTCCCTTTACTTTCTGCACTTATTCTCTTGTCGTTTCTGTTCTCAGCTTCTGAGGAAACCAACATTTACAGGAAACCCCCCATCTATAAGAGACAAGGTTTGTCGGTTCCTCACAATGATGTGGTTTTATAGCTTTTGTTAGGCTGTCTACCTGTCAGCCAGTTGATTGTTGTGTACGTTGTCAATGCATTCCTAGTATGAAACATGCTTCTTTGACTTTGTCTGACTTAATGAATCAGTCAGAGGAAACATCTGTCTATTATCTGGTGTTTTCGATCACATTCAGTCCTCCTCTCCAGCTTCTCTCAAAGTATTCAAAGGAAGTGAAATTTCCTCTATAAGCCTGCACTGGCCAGTTTCAGAGTTTATGGAGTGCTACTGGATAATCTGAGACAGAGGATCACATTATAAGCTGTTTCAAATATTATCTCTAGAGTGTTGAGACTTGTTTAGGGCTGTAATGATTAATCAGTTAATCAGTGAGTCGTTTCACACCTAAAAACTACACACGAACTCAACCAAGTGACTCAAACAGAATTTGAAATTTTACATCTCAGTTACATTTAGTTACATTTCCTCCATGTACAGTCAACTTGACCCTTTTGTGACCCTGACTATTATGAGGAGGGAGACACCAATATGATCTGCATCATTATCAGCCCCAATACTGAACCTTTGAGGCCACAATGTGACAAGTACACATTAGTTTTTTAGTTTTTTGTTGCCTTTGTAAAATTCAGTGTTTCTGCTATTGTATCATAATGTTACATTCATTCAGTCACAGTGGGCCACCTGCTTTGTTTTTATGTCACCAAATATGGTACTAAATAAACTAAACTAAGGACCGCAGCCCCTAGTGGCCACATCACAGACGAGATTGCAAATTCAACTGGTGATTCAAGAGGTGATGTAAAACTGAGAGAAGCAGTGCCAAATACTGTAGGTGTGTGTAGGTGATCCATCAGTGCTCCGATGTCAGGTCCAACAGAGTTACAGTTCCTCAGAAACACCTCTGGATGATTTACGCTGAGCTACAAAGTGCTGACAAACCTCTCTCTCTTCTGTCTGAGCAGGCAATCTGTGTTCTGGGCTCTCTGGAAGAATTTGAATTTACAGCATGAATCATTTATAGAGCAGTTTTCATATTAAGGCAAAGCATCATAATCGTATCATATACTGTATATTTACTACCACAATGTGTGGTGCAGACTTTGTAGAGCAACTCAAGGGGGTGTTTGGTTATATTACCAGGAAGGACAACTGAGAAACATAGCGAGAGTTTGAGAATAGCAGATGTAGCAAACAAATGATTACACATGAATGATTTTGCCATATTTTAGCAGCTCCACATGCATGAATGATCTGATGCAGGCCAAAAATCTGTGCATGTTTTTCTTTTGGAGCCTTTTAATGCTTCTGTAATATCTGTTTTAGATGTAAAAATATTACCAGGATCAGGGTGTAGGAGGTTGCCTTGGCCCAAAAGATGTGCGCACTGAATCTGTTCTGCATGTTGATTATCAAACAATGATGAATTTATTTGTCCCTGTTAAATTAAGACTTAGATTTTTAAAAATGACCTGGTAATAAAAATCACAAATAGGGAACAGATTGCTCAGTTGGATTTTTGTGCCCAGTGTAATTTTGGACTAAACGTCACATTCATGCATCCACAGCATCAGTCAAAATATGACCTTTGCCTCATGTGACCAACTCACTCTTTTCACACTGTCTACTAAAAGTCATAACCCTTTCAACAGTTCTATTTCAGATATTACATTCTGTCATCTTCAAAAGGAAACCGCAAGCCAGTCTGCTGGTCTAACATTTCACCCTTCATACACAAATGAATCAACATTTGTTTTAATGTTCTTCACATATTTCACACCACTAACTACCTTCCTCCGTCCCTTATCAGCTTTGCTGCAATGCACCTTTGATAACTTTTGCTTGCTTACTGGAAGCTGTGAATCATATCCCATCCCATTTCCTCTGACCTCCTTTCGGTTCTCTGTTCCCTTGTTTGTTTTTGATGCCTCTCCTCCTCCCTCGCTCCTCCCTGCTGTGCCCTCCCCATTATGTAAGTAAATGCACTACTTTGTCCGTCTTGTTTCTCCTGCACACACACACAGAAAAGACACACGAAACCTCTCACACTCACATTGGTCGAACAGTCAAACATTTAAACTAATATACTAACTAACTGAGCCATTTTTGTGGATGTGGAAGGTGTTTTTTTTGCATTCTGCTACTCTTCCTCAATGGGTGACTTTTCCCTTCCCAGTTTAGTTAACACAAGCATGTAAATCAGCATATAATTGCACTGATATGATTTCTCTCTCTTTTTCTGGTCATCTTTCCCTCAGACATATCCGCCTCTCCAACAGCCAGTAAGAGTAAGACCAACGAGAACCTTGTCAATTCCAGTCGCCTCTCCACCTCCACCTGTAACAGCCTTTATCACCCGGACTCCAACTACTACCCATACACTGGCTCTCCAAAAGGTACTGCTCCCTCTCTGTCTGAAGCACACACTTCTGCACACGCAAGTGCTTAGAAACTTGTGTTTTCACCAAATGCAAGGTGCATTCACATCTAGGCCCCCTTTTATCTCCATCTCTGTCTCTAGTCTCGAGGGTGAGGAGGTTTTCGTCTGGAGGAGAGGAGGATGGATGGAATCATAATATAAACAGGGTAAGAAAGAAGGGCATTCTCCTTATTCCCCCTTTTATATTTTAACTGTCTTTTAATATTTAATGAGCTTCTTAATTAAATGCTTTTTTTTCAACCTCACCCACTGGACATGCTACAAAGTGATGCTCCTCTGCTCCTCTCTCCATCTTTTACTCCATATTTATCCTCTGTCTGTCTATACAACAACTATTGCCTTTACTGTCTCATCCTGCTGTTATTATCTATCAACCCATTCATCCATCCCACTCAAATAACTCTTATTACTCCATCTATCTGCCCATTTGTCCACCTTCTTTTCTGATCCACATCCTTCTACTCCCCTATGCTTTTCCTTCCTCCTTCACTCCCTACAGGGAATTGGCAGGATGATCCTCAAGGAGGAGATGAAGGCGCGGTCGGGTTGTCACGACAATGACCAGTGGGGGAGCAGACGCAGTTCCCGCTGTAGCAGCAAGGAGGCGCTGAACAATCTGGGATTCAGCTCCCTCAATGGCTGTAAGTCTGTGGTTGTGAGGGTGTGTTTGTTTTTGTCACCTCTTAAATCTGTCAGAAACGGCTCATATATATTTAGATTTACTACATTTACTACAGTTGCATATTTTACAATGTGTAACAGTTTCTTGGTCTGTTTATGTCTGTGTCCTATTGTTCAAGACAAAGTCATGCTAGCAGCTCTTTGTAGCTGTACTTAGGCACAGCAGTGCATTGAGTTAAGTGCTAATACATGTTAACATGCAGTTATAATGTTTACCACATTCAACATCTTAGTGTAGCTTGTTAACATGCTAACATTTGCCATTTAGAATTATATACATAGTACAGCTTAAATAGGAATGTCATTGAACTAAACTATCTGCAAAGTTGAGAGTTTGAGCAGATGATGACCTTTGGTCATCATGAATGTCACAGCAATTCATCAAATAGTTGTTGAGATATTTCAGTTTGCACCAAAGTAGAGTGATACTTATCCTATTTTTAGCAGCTTCATTCATCTTTAAGATTGTGGAAAGTTGTCAATATCAATTTCTCATACAATGGCACATGATGGTGCAGACTTAGGTCCATATTTTGAGCTTAAGACAATGATAATATAAAGCCACTGTGATTGATCTTTGCAAGTTGGTCTTCAAACTACAAAAATGTAATGTGTATATGATCTGTAAACACTGACATGGTCTTTACAGGGTGTTGTTGGGTTGAGACTGTTTAGGTTCAAGACTGCTGAGCGAGCCATAGTGGGGGAGAGTTTCCCACTTCTGTATTAATTCTTCCATTGATCCCATTCCTCATTGCATTCAGCACGTGTAGGGGCAAGACAAAGATGGAGAGACTCAGATAGAGAATGGAAGAGAGAGTGTTTAGGTGTAGGTCGAATGGGAATAAAAGAGAGGGTGTTATAACAGGAGAGACAGAGAGAGCGAACGAGATAGAGAGTGAATTAAATTTAAAAGAGAACGAAAGAAAGGGAGTGAGAAGCTAAAGCAATTTGGAGCTGTTCAGAGAAGATGTATGACATGAAGCCAAGAGGTAAATCAGGGTGAGAGAGCGGTGGAGAGAGAGGGAAATGAGCTATGTGCACAGGGAGGTCAGACAGAGAGAGGTGAGGATAATGTGGGTGTTCAGTGCTGCGTAATCACTGTGGGTTTATTGTGCCTGCTGTTATTATACAGATTAGAAAATACAGAGAGGTGTTTGCTTATCTATTCTTCAGAAGAGGCTAATTCCAAAATGGGCTGTCCACTGGTTGTGACATGAACATGAACTCTTCTAAATAATTGACCCTTGGTGAATTCATTTACTTTGGCAGTGTCGGTCTGTTGGCCCACCACTTAGGTCCAGACTGGAATATCTCAACAACTACTGGATGGATTGCCTTTTCTACAGACATTCATGTTCCCCAGAGGATTAATCCTACT